ATACTAAATTCTAAGCTAAACTTCAATGTAACCAAAAGAATAAGCCTAAACATGCTGCAGATGGTTTTGTGATTTGTCAAGGCAACTGCATCTGTGGTAACTTTTGTTTTTAACTGTTTTGCAGTCATTGAAAGAATAAATGGCTCCAATTTCTAGTTTCCAGTCAGAAACTTCAGTGTATGTTTTAGGCTTTCATGATATATAGTACATAATTTCAAAGTAGAAGGAAAGCATAGGTTTTTTAAAATTTGTTTTTAGGTTAAATAAAAACCCTAAAGTTATGACATGCACTTATGTTCAGCTAATATATATCGATTTTTTTTTTGAAAACATTCCAGTGTAAGGTCAGTCAGACTGAACAGAAAGTACCTGCAAACACCAATGTCTAATGTTTTGATTGAAATTCCCAGTTGGCTTTAGGGCTTATGTTTTTTTTTTTTGTTTTTTTTTTTTAACTGAACCACATTAATTGAGCAGCAAAATTAATTACATCATTTTATCACAATTAACACCTTCAGACCCCACATCCACTGGAATGGACATGACATTTCTCTAGTTTTAAATGAGTAAGAAAGGAGGACATTTGCTATTTAAATGATACTTGTTACATATTGGTTTCTTATTCAAACATAAACAATGAAGTTCAAGACTCTTAACTTGACACTACTGGGTTTTAGGCATCAGACGAGACGAGCATTGTTATGAAACCAGAGAGAGGGAGGAGTAAGTATCTGTTTTCCATCAAAAATATTAATTCATGTTCATAGCAGCTTAGAAAACTTGCCCTCAGCTTAATTTTAAGTATTTCAAGTGATAGTATTTCAAGGTACTTTGAACATTTTTTTCTATCATTAAATTGCAGGATTTTTTTTTTTTTTAAGTTAAATGTCCATCCCAATTTACATCAGCTTTGGTATGTTATACAGTGGATAGAAAAAAAAGCACCTATAAGCATTTTGAAACCAGTTTGTGACGTCAGTATTTCATTTTTTTCAATGATGGAGTATTAACGCTGACTTTCTTGAACTGCTTGTACATGCAGAGATATCTGATTATGGGTGCTCAGATAAGCCATGTGAGAACAAGAGTTAGATAGATGGCAAATTGAGAAGTAAAGCAACCCAAGTTTCTTAAAATGTCTCAACCAGAGGAGTTCAAGCTGTACAATGAATCAATGGATGGTTTTGTCCTTCTAGATGAAATTGTCAGTCTGTACCAGACAAAAAATCACATTGAAACTACTTCAAGGGTGCTTATCAAACTTTAGAGATTGCATGAAAATACCCAGCAAGCTGATGGTTTGCCAAATGTTTGGCAACTGTGTGATCTGTTGTTAAATTACCTAAACTAAAAACCCTCCTGTTTAGAATTACTTTTGTAATCAATGTTTCATGAGCAACAATGGCACTTGACAAAATGTAATGCTTCAATTGTTGACTGTGTGTTCTATGATTTTGTATTTTTGTGTTTTTATGACGTAAAGCACTTTTGAAATGCCTTGTTGCTGAAATGTGCTATACAAATAAGATTTGATTTGATATGTTCAGATTACTATACATACACAGTAAAATGTAAAACTAATTTTAGATGTCAAACACAAAAAATAAGTTCATATGCTCAAAAATTGTACACATAACTGTAAGGGTGTTCTTATTACTATAAACATGACATTTTTCTGTACAGTTTACATTTTGTAATTTGGGCATTTTTTTAATACTTTGCATTGTAATTAATTTCTTTCTTTCTTTTTCTTATTCTTGTTTGTACATTATTGACTTGGTTTGTAACTGGTTATTTTTGTTTGTTTGTTTGTTTTTCCCGGGATCAGTTGAAAGTTATATCTAACTCTGGTTTTTTTTTGTTTTTGTTTTTGTTTTTTGTAATGTGCTTGGTGGAGCAGCAGGGGGCACAATCGAAACACTATTGGAAACTATGACAATTATTTTTAACTAGGTTCAGTGTCAGAGGCAGTAAAAAGCGATATAAAAAATAGACTCGTCGTCGTCTAGTTTTCTCCTCTTTTGAAAATAACATCTATGTGCAAACCTGCATGGGGATGGAGGCATCAAAATGAATACAGTGCGCTGTCTCTGCTGTTTGTGTGGGAGAATAAATGAGGGATGAAGGCAGAGGTGGCCGTCCCGACTCCGCTGAAGCCAGAGATCCATGCCAGATTTTCCTTCACGCCCCTAAGGAGGGTTTTCAGTGTTATTCTGTGCATTAAATTACTCTCAATATTGAAAATGGTTTGTATTTTTTCCCAACAAAATTGTCCAAATACAATAAAGCAATAAAGTTGTAATTTTCCACTTTCCACCTTTTATATAGCAATACCATAAAATGGAAATGGACCTACAGACTATTGCAAAAATATTTCTTAATAATTGTCAGTTATTTCTTAAAATGACTGACAATCTTTTCAAAAGATACTGAGAATTTGCAACACATCTCTGCAGCGTTTAAGGTATTACACATCAATATTTACATCTCGTGTGTATTAATTTACAGAAGCTGGCAGCAGAGTTCCCCTTAGAGGAAAAAATACAGTCATGTACAAGTTGTAGTACAATGCAGAGTATGCTTCTCCTTTTTCTTGCACTGAAGAACATCTCAGCTAACAGCATTAGCTGTGGTGAAGAATAATTGGAAACCTGTACTGTTTAAAAGAGCAGTGGATCAAACCAAATTCACAAAACCGTTATGTTTTCTACAGGAAGATAATGTTTTTTATTGCTCCTTTTTGGGATTTTTTTTATAAAAAAAAAAAAAAAAACACCTGATCAGGTCTTTATTCATGCAGCGAATGAAGCCAAATTCCTTAGATATGAAGTGATTGTTGAAGAAATAACTTTACTTAAAATCTTTGACAGCAAAATGTCTTACAAGATTTTTTTAGATCAATGTAGTTTTTACACACCAATCGATAATCTGTTCTAACTGCCAGGTCATTATGAGTGTTTCACATTTTCACTACCGGCAGTAGTGAAAATAGTAAAGAAAACTCATGGGGAAAACTTAAGTCAATTAAAAGCATTCTCACGCCATACTATAAAAAATCCTCTACCTGCTGACCAGGTTGAGCTCAGTGGGACAGAAAAGTAAAACCATACTTAGGTTTTACAGTTATTATTATTATTTTTTAAACTGCTTTACGTGATGATGCATCAGAAGGCAGTAGTTGAAAGAAAGCCTTAAAAGTTTGCTACAATAAAAATAGAGGAAGGTCGTGAAAGGTTGTTTTTATGCTCTTCTGAGTTTTTATGTGAATAAACAAGAGCTCTGTCAATTAGAGCTGAATTTAAATCTGGGGGTTTCTTGTTCTGTTGTGTGTGAAACAAAAGCAGTTCTGTATTTGTAGGAGCCTTGTTTACTGACCAAATAAACTTCTTTTAAATTAGAGGAATGTCCCCTGCCTTCCAACTTTCTCCATTTATTCTGCTTTAAATTACGCAGCCAGTAGTGGCTGTGGGCCTTCCTCCCACTGTCCAAAAACATGCATGCTGGGTTAATTAGTGGTTCTGAAATGACTTTAAGAGTGAGTGTGTATGAGAGCTGCCCCACCCAAAGTGGTATGAATACCATTTCTACTAATCAGACCAACATTTCTCCCTAACCTTTTAACAATCTGTGTTTCCTACACAGCTTGCTGGACACAACCTGGACATCCAGTGGCTAGAGGGTAGCATACCACGAACTACCGGTGAATACCCAGAAAAATAGGGAAGTTTGGCGTCATTATTTGCAAAGCAAAGCAAAGATGTAACACACATTTTTAGTGATCACTGATTAACAAAAGTAAATAAGAATGTTAGTTTTAACTTTTAGCCATCAGTGTTTTGTTAAAAGCTGCCCACTCTGATTTAATAATTAAGATGAGACTATACTCAGTTATAGATATTATTTTGTGCTTGTGGTTCCAAATTAGTGTTCGATGATAGGTGAATACTTTACTGACAAAATGCAGCCAATATGAGACAATTTGTCTATATAATTCATAATGGTAAAATCTGCTTCGTATCATGCAACAGAAGTTTTTTTTTTTTACATAAAGCTGTACTGGGGCACTAAGTCATATATAATTGAATTTGCTTGTGTAATACTGATTGAATATTGAGAGTCTCAGAAAACTAGAATATTACAGAGGATCAAAATAAGAATGGTATTTTAAACAGAATTGCCAGGTTCATTTCTAACATTTAATACTTGATTGCTTCCATGCCATGTTGCATTGTTGCAGTTATTAATATAAAGCCAGCAAAACCAACTCATCACTCTGCTGGGTTGCAATGAAAGCCCATAATGCTTTGACGGCTGCCTTCAGATGCTCTGCCTTGTTGGGTCTGGTGTCTCTCATCTTTGTCTTGACAATACTGTGGGTTCCAGCTAAGGCCAGTTTGCTTCATAAAACATAAAACTTCGAGCAGCATGAATTCCAGTCATCTTCCAGGCTCTGGGAGCTTGTTTTCCAAATGAAATCGCAAATTTTACTTCCATCTGAAAAGGGGATTTTTGACCACTGAGTCTACTCTAGTTCCTTTTCTTCTCAGCCCAGATAAGATGCTTGTGGCCCATCTGTAGGATTCATCTGTGAGTAGTCACTGTTGATGCACTGACTCCAGCCTCATTCCACTCTTTGTGAAGTTTCCCTAAATTTCTGAATTGATTTTGCTTCCATCCAAATGTCCACAAATACGTTTGGACGCAGCACTCTGTAAGCAGCCAGTTTCTTTAGCAGTGTCCTTTGTGGCTTACCCTTCTTGCCAAGGGTGTCAATGGCTGTCTTCTGTCTAGTTAGGAATCTTCCCTATCATTGTATCGCCTACTGACCCAGACTGAGAGAGAAAGCCCAATGAAGCATTTGCAGATGCTTTGAGTTTGTTACCTGATAAAAGTGTGCCATCCTTATATTACAAATACTTTTTCACAACATTTCAATTTTCAGAGATCCTTAAGTTTGGTTTTTCATTCAAATGATAAGTTTGAAATATTCAACTCTATCTGCAATGAATATCTATGATTATCACTTTTTGAAATACGTAACGAAAGATACAGGATATTTTGACAATATTCGGTATTTTTTCCCCCAGTGTACCTGTGCTGGTTTCCGTTTGGCGTGGTGTGTTCTTTGGGAACTGGATCTTAATCCACTCCGGGTTTTCACGACGCTCCCACTTTATCCGTAAAGCTATGTGTTTTCTGTGTGAGAGACGCCGACTCTTGTTTGGAGCAGCGATTCTACGGAGGGGCTGAGACCCGCAAGAGCCTGCGCTAACCGAGGGCGAGTCTGAACCATTTCATCCTCTGGATTTTACGCGCAACAGGACTATTTTTCTTTTTTCTTCTTTTTCCTCTGCGTTTTTTTTTTACGTTGGTGTGGGGAGAAGAGCAAAAAAAAGAAGAATCACTCGTAAAAGGCAACTGCGTGGCCACATTCTCCCTCCCACCCCAGCCGAGGTCGTCTAGCTGGAGATCCATTCTCTTGCGTGGCACAAGTCTGGTATTTTCTTTCAGCTGCAAACCCAGACTGACGAAGGGGATCAGTCCAAGAGGAGCAAAAGGGAGAAATTTGGTTTTCAAACCGAGCCGGGACTGCTCTGCGGGGATCTTACTATATTGCTGGATGGCATAGGCGAAAACGGAGGGTTTTCATTCATTTTTCAGCCCCTCTCAGCCACCACCCCTGTGGATCTGTCCGTGTGTGTGTGTGTTTTTTTTTTCACCCTCCTCCTCATCATTCAGCCTTGTTCACGAGTGGAATGCTGTGAACTATTTATGGGGCTGCTTGTGGAATTATAAATTACGAAAAAGAAAAAAAAGATCTAGGCAGACTTGTGTTTTTATTGTCCACGCTAGGCCTTAACACACTGGAGGCGCACTGCTGTTTTTAAGAGATGGAGAATGAAGATGGGGATTACCATCATTTATCCAGGAAAATCACTGGCCCGTGTGCCACACCAGCCAAAGTGTACAGTGATCGGCAAAAATAGCAGACTGCATTTTTGGGATTTTTCTTTTCGATCAAAAACGCCTCCCCTCTCCAATCAAATCGCATTTATTTATATTTTTAAGTAGAGCTACATAACAAAAAAGCACACATTTGTTGGCTGCTAAAGAGTAGCCTTTCGTGCTGCAGACATTTATTATTCCTTTTTATTTTTATTTTTTTCAATTCCTGTTTTATTTTTTTTTAATGTGCAGGATCTCTTGCGAGGGGTGGACGTGTACGAACCTGCTATTTTATTTATTTATTTTTTTTTCTTTTTGCGTTTTTCGAAAGGAAAATAATGAACGTGGGAGCAGAAACATCGATGGGTAGCCTGACCTTGTTTTGGGGTTTGCTGCTGTTTTTTTCTTCTGTCTGCGTGCGATCCACTCATGGAGAGAGTAAGTGTTTTGATAGTGTAAATGCTATGATTTATTTCTCTACCCTCAGTATGTCTGAAAGCTTGTAATCTTTGTGAGCAATATAATGTAAACAGTTATTGGTATGCGTCAACAGTGAATAAATTATTATTTTAAGATTATTTTAATTAAATACGCCAGTGTAGCCGCGGCGCGCGCCTGTTATTCAAGCAGTATATTTGCACCATGTGTCGGTGTCGGAGAGTGCCCATAGATAACCGAAATACGTAGTATTATTTTATATGCCCATGCATTCTTATTCATTTGAACCCAAAGGGAGGGAATCCAACAGCAGGCGCATCCGACGCATTGTTTTGAACGCGCAGAAGTCAGAGGGATGGATCCAGAGAGCAGAGCTGAAGGTTACTACGACCATGTGGCCATTTTGCATTTCGTAGTGCGTCGCTGCGCAAAAACAACAACAACAACAAAAAAACAAAAAACAATTCAGACAATCCTATTAACCCTGTTTTTTTTGTTTTGTTTTTTTTTTAAAGTTATCTGGACACTTATATGGCTGCAAAACAGGCGAAGAAAATTCTACTTATCTTCCATTAAAAACTATATCTGAAAGCTAGTTAGCCTCTTGTTTCTGTGCGTCAGTCAGTGAAATCTTTAAACTGGAGCAGCTTCAGAGCGCAGCTTGTTTTCTACCTCGGCTTTAACACTGTGTGCTCTGTGCTAATTAAGCTTAAGAAACGGATGGTGGCTTTCAGTCAGAGGCATGGACATTTTTTGACTTTGTTATAGCAACATTTTTTAACAGGGTATGCCACACTGGTAAATAGCAAGAAAACACTGGGGGATATCACGTTGTTTTTTTTGTTTTTTTTTTGGACGTTTTCGTGATTTCACTTTCTAAGCTAAATTTAAACATGAACTTATCCAACGTGTTGCACGTTTTTAAGTTCTTCAAGTTGTTGATTCACTTTCTAAAAGCAGGGCTCCCACTTTTATAGTGGTTGACCGTTTTTGAGTGATACAGGGTTCATGTGCACTTTTCTTCATGACTTGTCTTCCATCTTTCTTTCTTTCCTTGTGTCCTTTATTATTTTCATTTTTTCATTGAATCTGTCTTCTTTAATTTCTTCTTACCATCTTTCTTATTTCCTTTCTTGTCTCCACAGGTTAGCTCTACTTTACTTCTGTGTTCTTTCTTCCCTACTTCCCCAGGTCCATCTTTTCTTGTTGTCCTGCCAGCCCTATCTTCCTTGCTAGTTTTTTCCTTGCATGCTTAATTTATTTTTTCCTTTCTTCCTTCCTCGAGTCCATTTTTACTTCCTTCTTTCTTGTATTTTTCTTGTTTTCCTTGTATTCTACCTTTCCTTCTTCCTTCTGTTATTCCTTCTTTCTTCTTCGATGCCCCCATTGTGTTCCAAAAGATTTAAAGCCTATTCGCTGTAGAAATACCTACCATAAAATCATGGTGAACTACAGATTTTATATTTTAAATTAAAATGACTTAGTGAGAAAGTTGAGACTTAAAATGTGTAATTCTTGCAGGACTCTGCAGAAAACTGGGTGTTTATTCATTTGGGACATGATTTTATTGGTGTAGACTCGGAGCATTACTTTTAGCTGTAAAACTGATAGAAGGCATCATCTTACTCTTGATTTGCAACGCCATAAGGAGACCCAATTCCCATACTGCAAAGCACTGTACCATGCTAAGTTGGGAAATAAAAAGAAGCAAAACAAAACCATTTAATTGATAATGAAACTGTCAAATTATTTGCCAGTTTCTTGCTTTTTGTCTGATATGTTCAGTATCAGGGATACATCGATCAGCCTTGCTTGGCCAACACTAATCATTGGTTTTCTTTGAGATTGGATCTGTTAATTTTGCTTTTCTTCCCCTAAGTCCTATATTAGACAAATGGCAAAAAGTACACCCCTGATTCTGTTTAAAAAAATAAATAAATAATAAAAAAAATACATTAAGTCATTGCTGCATGGGAAGCACAGATCAGGCCACTTCTTGCTCTTTCTGACTTTGTTTATTTTTTTCCCCTTAGGACTGTATGTCATAAAAAAGGAGAAAAAAATGAGTCGCAGATTCTTTTTGAATTATTAGAGTCAGCGTAGCAAGAAATCAGTATTGCGCCAATCAGTATTGTGCTGGTCAGTACCGATTTCCAGTTTTGACTGTGATCTGACCACGATGATTCATATTTTTACCAATTATAGTTTTTATTTCTCAAATATGTGACAGAAGAAAAATGTGATCAATTTTTGTTTAGCAAAGAGGCTGATAAACAGTGTTTATCAGTACTGTTTACATTTGTACAATTTAACTTCTCCGATAAACATTGTTGAAAATGCAGAAATGCCAAGGAGTGTATTTACCTAATATTTCAGATTTCTATTAAATGAAAAAGCATACAAGTACATGCTGTTATTATCTATGTTTATGGAATGGAAATTGTTTTTACTTTGAGTTTTGACGCATTTAATGAAGAGGAAAAAAAATAGATTTTCTAGTATTAATCATAGTCAATCAGGGCAAAACAGGTCTGCTGCAATCTGTCTGATGGACTGGTGAGTCAGTGCCTTTAACTAATACAGTTAGTTATAGTTTTTGAGGCTACATTTCTCTCTGTTATTAGGACTCCCCTCTTACTTTCACTCATATTTTAAATGTTAATACAACAGCAGGCATTACTTATTTATTTAGGACCTCTATGGGTGGATCGTTCTGCCCTGAACGTAGAGATTGTGCTTGCGTCCGTAACGCGGACACTGCACGATGCCCCTCCACACCCCATCACATCAATTCCCTTGTTACTTAAAGTGGAAACATCTTTGTATGTGAAGGGGACAGGCAGAATAACCTATATTAGCATCCAAATAGAAGAGAAAAAAAATGGTTTCATCCCTGTTGACCAGTGGCCCGACCTTAGCCACGTTCTTTGAGCCTCTCTGAGCTCCCTGAAAGGCTTGTGAGTGCAATTGGGAGATCTCAGAGCGAGGGAGTCGCTCTGAGATCTCGAGCCTCTGTGCTGTATAATACATCAGACCTTCCAGAACACAGAAACGTCGGTGACAAAAGCCTGCAGAGAATATAAGGATCCGTGTCACTGATTCGCCACTTGTAGATGGTGTTTACTTTACTCGGGCTGGAGAGCGTCAGAATTTCCAGCTGCTGTCATCACTTAGCGGAAAATCACAAACCTCTCGGAGCTCCATTTGGGGTTCAAATTTTTCTGTTCGTTTTGATAATCTGTCCGCACCAATAAAATGTAATTAAGCTCCCTTTTAACTCTCACCGCAACAGACTTTCCATGCCACAGCTTTCAAGTTTGTAGTTTTTTTTTTTTTTTTTCTTAAAAGAGGAGCAGAGAGAGACCGTTGGGAACATAGTTGGTGTTTGGAAATCATACATAAAACACTTGCAGGAGACTCGGATTTGGTTTTATTGATTTCAGTTTCTGAGCTGCTCTAGACCTCATCACTTGGCATCTCCACCTGCAGCTCTTAAACTGTCACCAGCAGCACTGGTGCAGGGGTTGCGAGAGCACAGGCACTCTCTGTCCTGCCTCACAAGGCCACAACGATGTTCCTGTTCCTGTCGCCTTGGAACATTGGATTGGCAAAGACAAATGATCAAGCATCATTGGGAATCGTGTTTGACAGGTACACTTCTCCTGTCCGACTTTTTCCCTCCTGGGTTGGGCTTGTTGCGGGTCGTCTCTTCCTTTTTGTGGCAGGGCACGTACCTCAGCTATGACTGCTGCCACTGTCATCCAAGGTGACCCGTTTTGCCTCGTGACAGTGGTGACATAAGACCTCCACGCCTGCTGGGTGGCCTTCTATCTCTGTGATTACTGTGTATAACTCGGTGTGTTAGTCTGAGTCAGTGGAATGCCCCTGGGTATGAATGTGAAAGTGTGTCACTGGGCTAGTTTGTGAGCATCCAGTGAAAACGCTGTCCCGTAGCTCTTCCGGTCTGCCAGCCGAGGTTTGGTTTGTGAAGCTTTAATGAAACACTGTATTTCAAGTGGCATGTCAGTCTATTTGTGCAGCTATAGTTTTTCCATCCAACCGCGTGCGTATCATCGTTTGCTCTGGGTTTAATAGCCTGCAGAGTGTTTTACAATTTGTGTGATGATTGTAAATGTTAGCTCCTTGACTGCACGCCACCTGTCTTATCAGATAAGTGGTGTATGCACATAAAAACATTCAAAGATAATGCTATCTTGAGATGCAGTGATTGTAGTTTTCTGGGACGATTTCAGATTCCCCGACAAAAACATGATGAAGTTATTTTTCTGCTTTCTGATGGAAATCAAATGTATAAACATTTGGTAGCTGCAGACTCAGTGAATCAACACAGTTTGCTGGGTTACCGTAAATCCGTACCTTTTCTTTTTACCAAGTGGCACAATAAACTCAGCTTGACCGACTTTATGACCAGGATCCAGTTGGAACGTATGTAATTGACTTTAGCTCTGTCTGCATCTTTTGATTTAATTCAGCGTACATTATTTAAATATGAAATAAGTATGAAAGGGCGAACAGACTTTTCTGACGTGTTTGAGACGAGTTGCTATTTGCTTGTGCAGTCTATTAAATCACATTAAAAACTTACATTGAAGGTTTGCTTTTGCTTTAATGATCGCCTCTGATATGATGCATTCACTGACTTGTTTAAGTGAAAAACAAAGTCCTTGTACATTTGATCTGGCTGTCACCAGCCAACCTGGATTGGTGCATCTCTACCGCAAATCCTTCTGTTGCATCCTATAAGTCAGGGCATTGGTGGTTTGGAGTTGTTGTAATAAGGATAAACGACAAGTAAATTTGTTTATATAGCTCTAGATTAAGGGATCCTGAGTAATTCCATTTGTCTAATTGTTATAAACTAGCTTATTCTGGGGATTATAACACCTTAATATTTGTTCAATAGCTCGTCTTACTTCACGCTTTCCACAAATAGCTTTTTCTTAGGGAAAAAAAACTTAATATTTTTGTGATTTTGAAAA